CACTTTCCAATCATGACATTCGCCGGCTTGCTGGGCATATCTTCCGAGTCCCACTTCCAGATGATGCGTTGCTTCAGCTTCGAAAGGCTGGCAATGATAGCATCGAATTTGTCCTGCCTTAGATTGGAACTCTTGAGATTCGATCCGAAGCTGAGGAAGATGGCTCCATCCTTCGCTCCGTCCAACCATGCTTGGATGTCTTCCGGCAGGGGATCGGGCTTGGACTTGATCTGCAGGCCACCGACTTCCACCATATTCGGCAAGTACGGTCTTGGGACGGTTTGAGTGAAGTACGAGTTGAACATTACCAGCGATACATTACGCTTGGCTTCTTCGTACGAGGGGAATCCCTTCTCCGCAGGGAAGTTGTAGCTGAAATGATAGATTTGTGGTTGTTAATCACATCGATAAATGATCAAATATACATACTCGTAGTAAGGTTGCGTTTTGTAGCTAATGAACTTCGTAATCACATAGTCAACCGTGTAGATCAGCGTGTTCTTTACTCGGTCGAAGAAGCTCATCGGGTTCTTGTTGCCCAGAAGCAAATGCGGAACGGCGGAAATCTCCGTCGGATTTCCAACCACGTTGATCATACTGCTGAAGCCGGCCGAAAAGTACAAAATCGTAGGACAGTTCAGCCAGGAGCGAACCCCAACGACGAAATCGTTCATAAAGAACCCCAGTATAGCAACGTCGAATTTCTTCTCCTTAATCAGTTTCTGGAACTGCGGCGAGTTCAGCGTGAAGTTGGTGTTTTCGAGCGATGCATGCGTAATTACCGGCATGATTTTGAGCATGTTCCGGCTGTCACCCTTCATGAAGCTGGCCATAATGGGACCGAAGGAGTCCTCAATCGGCACGTACACATCCCGGTAGTTTTTGACCGGCTTTGACAGCGGAAAGGCACTGACCATGGTGACCTTGAACCAGGGGTAAAATTATTTTAGATCACGCCATTAACTGGTTATGATTTGATTGACACCGACTTACCTCATGACCTCGTTGGGCTAGGTGCTTCAGCAGTGCCTGAGTGCCCAGGACGTGCGACTTACTGGCCGTGGAGAAGAGGCACAGGATTTTCGCTGAGTCAGTCCCATTAGGCAGGCTGATCAGTAGCAGGCCCGAGAAGGCGATCACGAGCAGCGACAGTAATCGACTGCTTGCCATTATTGATGGAGTCCGTGGATGGCGGTGGGTATCGATGGAATGGTTGATCAACGCTCGGTGAGGCGAATTTATCACGTTCACGTCCTGAGGAATAAGAAGGGTTTGGAATGATAACGGGTGGGTAAGGTGGTTGTGTGAGATAAGGCTCCTGGTGATAATCGAGGGCAGTGTTTTGAAATGAACGATTGCAGCTCTTTGTGTTTGCGTGGATCATTGTGTTATCTTTAGCAAAGAAGTTGGTTGTGTGCAATTGTTTTCTTTCGATCTTCATAATTGCAATTCAAATTTCAGCCAGCCAGGATTTTCCAATTCCCAGTGCTTTTTTTTAATTTATGAAATCCGAAATGTTAGTGCCATATTTTTAACGAATCACGAATGTTTCGTCAAATGTTGGTCTCAAGAACTGTTACAAACAAGCTTGATTACATTTAAAAAACGCCATCGACGAGCTTTATGTCATTCTATTCTCATTAACTAAATAATGATTCATAATTCGTAAATTTAATTCAAATAAGCTATAATAATCAACAATTAACATCAGCTTCCTTTCGAGATACTTGTTTGCCAACCTGTTTCTAACCGATCAACATCGTTGGTAAAAAAAAAGCAAAGATGAGAAGAATGACGTCATGCTACCAATGATCTTTTAAGTGATCTGTAAACCACCGTCTTAACGCGCACGTTTCTGTTCGTTCCTTGAACCTGAATCCCAACTATTTAGATCAATTGCCAATTGCTCAACCCTTATTTTACACAATTTTCACCCTCTTTTAGCTCGCTACATTTTTGTTAAATTCGATTAAACTACCACGCCATTGTAAATCACCACAAATTACACTATATCTTTACTAACCTACCGTCTTCTCTGCGTGCCCACGAATCACTATAAGATGCGACCAGCGTCCCGTTTCAACGGCTCTTGGCAGTCCGCGACCAAACACTATTTACACTACCACCAGGACCATCATCAATGATGGAGTCTCGATTTATTAACTTATTTGTACTCGAAGACGACAACGACGACGGACGGCATGGTGTACATTTCACAGTCCACCACTGCAGTGCACTGATAGGATTCATGTTGGCGTGAACGAACGGGAGGACGCCTTTTTTTCTTGAATAAAAATCACACAAATACCTACACTTATTACGTCGGGGACCGGCGAAATGAATGAATGGACGACGTCGTGACCTCCCTCCGATTAATAGACAAATATGTTCTGGGTGATTTTTTGCTGCCCCTTGTTTGTGGAGCGCGGTGTGGTGCGATCCTAATCATCGTTTGCTGAAATTGATGAAACTCTATCGCGGAAGGAATTAGCTCGAGAATGCGTGTGTTTTGGCTGGGTGTGTGTGTCTGTTGAATATTAAGGCGTTTGCTGATAAAACTGCACGATAGTATCACTGCGCTTTAGATAAAAGGTTATGCTTCGAACACGAAACATAGGTTGCCTTGTCCAGTTCAGTTTATAAGCAAAAAAGAATGGAAAATTGGGAGCACTTATCAGGTGTGGATTATACTTTTGTATGTGTACCAGTGCTACCAATGGTGCTCACCTCAAAACTAGATAACGGGTAAAATTTGTCTCTAGTCAGGGCAATCAGCAATCAAGATTTCCAATTTCAATTGGATCAAAACGCTACGATGTTTTATGGCCGACGTTTCAGTCTTCGGACTTGACCTTCTTCATGGGATATGAAGCTGTAGCGTCAAGTTGTACGATCTACTAAAACCAACCCTGATGAAGATCGCAACCACTGGATCGAAACCCAAACATAATTAATAATTCTTCAACATCTTTAAAAGTCTACACTTTTCAGAAGTTCTCGATGCATCTCTGAAGTTGTACTGCCCTAAAGATCTCTAAACTCCAATAAATTTCTCAAGACTCCCCTGAATTTATCAGAACATTTTAAAAGTTCCCGCAATTTTCCAGAAGTCCATTGATTTAATCAAAAGTTCCTAAACTTTCCTAAAGTGTTCGAAACATAAGGTCATGGAACATCCCTTAAAATGTCTAAACTTCTCTGGACTTAATTGAAGTTTTCGATCCTCCTTGACAAATAATCAAAAAGTTCATTAGCGGTCGTACACTAATTACATAAAGGAAAAGGGAGGGAGGTTGGTCTTGTAAAATCCTGCAAAATATTATCTGTGGGGAAGGGGGGGGGGAGGTTGACCCCTTCTTACGTAAAATCATTTAAAAAATTAAAAGCGCTGTTTACGTATAGTTTATCAGCTCTACATCGATTTGGATCCTATTTGAACAGCTGTGAAACAACATTCTTAAACATATTTCACGGTTGTAACATCTGACAGGTAGGGTAAATGTTTCTAATGTTGGCCTATGGATCTAAGATTGGGCCATCGCTAAAAATCTGCTATTTATCAATTTTATCTAGATGAACACGAATGGATATTTTTGGTTGCTATTGAAATTTTTTCGAAACACTTCAGAAGAGTTTAGAATCACTTTGTAACGTATTGAAAAACTTCAGAACATTTTGGATTCACTTCGGAAAGTAATTAATCATTCCGGAAAAAATTTAAATCACTTCCACAATCATTTTAGCAAAGTTTGGAATCACTCCACAAAGTACTGAATAACTTCAGAAAGTACTGAATCACTTTAGAAATGTTCGGCGTCACTTCGGAAAGTACTGAATCACTTCGGAAAAAAATTGGGATTACTTCAGAATTTACTTTGAATAGCTTAGAAAAGTGATTCGTATGAGTATTTCGTTTCGAACAAAATTCTCATACAAAAAAATATTTTTTTGTATGAGAATTTCGTTCGAAACGAAATACAGAATAGGGGTGAATATTCGGAATCACTTCTGAAGTACTGAATCGCTTAAGAAAAGTTCATAATCACTTCGAAAAGTACTGAATAATTGTAGAAACTACTGACTCACTTCAGCAAAATTCGGAATAACTTCAGAAAGTACTGAATCTGTTCAGAAAAGTTCTGAATCCCTCCGGAAGTACAGAATCAATCCAGATAGTTTGTAATCACTTCCGCAAGAACTGCATGACTTAGGAATGCACTGAATCACTTCAGAATTTTTCAGAATTTCGGAACAATTCTGTAGTTAATCAGTATTTTCCGATGTGATTTCGGACTTTTCTGAAGTGAATCAGTACTTTTTGAAGTTCCAAAGACGCAAAATATATCTCCCCCCGTAGCGTATTCAGCACGTTTGTCAGCTTTTTCATCATTTTTTAGGTGATGCCAAACTTTTGGGGGGGGGGGGATGAAATATTCAAATGAGTGTTGCAATTCTTTTCTATGTGAGTCCATACTTATGACGAATAGTGTATATATTTTTGTTTTTATTTGTGGGGACCGTGTACATTTTCGTCCGGGTGCTCCTTAACTTCAAAGTGCGTGTTGAAATACCTAGGAGTGATGATTGACGACCGACTCAACTTCAACAGCCACGTTGGCTATGCTTGCGAGAAGATTGCCAAGGCCATCACGATAGTTGCTAGAATATGCTGAACAATTCTGAACCAAGGGAGCATTCATTAAGTACGTCACGCTCTAAAGGAAAGTGGGTTTTACAAGGGGCCTTGTTGAAATTACTGGCTATTTTTTCTGAAAAGGGATTATTTTATCCTACAACTTTGTCTCAGACGTCATGTCGTGGCGAGATTAAGTTTCATTTTGATTTCTCGAAAATAACTTTGATTTCTCGAAGAACAGTGGACTGTTTTATGATTTCTTTCAATACCATGACACGTACATTTTCTGAATCTTATTTTAATAATTTTCAAAATCTGGAAGTGTCTAAAAAAAAATATCATCGTTGAATTCCCTGAGTACACAATGTTGCCTTACCCGTGTGAGCCTTAACCTACCTTCATCCTCTAATCTAATGTCTCTTCTGCTTCTGCTTCTGCTTCTGCTTCTTCTGCCCTCCGCCGCAAATCATCCGCTTGATTCGACACAGCGCAAAACCAACCACCTTCAGGGCCACAAACACCGCGGCGCCCAAAAACGCCATCACATCCACCAAGTAGCGCTGCAGAACATTCAAATCCGAGCCCTGGTAGTGCAGATGTGGCGCTCCTTTATGGCGGATCACATATTCCACCCAATACGTTGCCAAATCCATCGACGACTGCGGTCGGTCCTTGTACAACGCAGCCATGGTCTGTACCTGCTCGGCGTACTTCGGATTTTCCAATACCTCCCGAATCGCTCCCGTCAACTGCTGCTCCGTTATATCATCGAACGAAACCGATGCGCCCCATCCTTCCTTGACCACCTGTGCCACATTAGTATCCTGATCGCCAAACATGGGCATTCCCACGATCGGAACTCCGTGGTACATCGATTCCGTGATACTTCCCAGCCCACCGTGTGTCACAAACAGCTTCAAGTTCTTGTGAGCCAGGATGTCGTCCTGTGGCAACCACTTTCCAATCATGACATTCGCCGGCTTGCTGGGCATATCTTCCGAATCCCACTTCCAGATGATGCGTTGCTTTAGCTTCGAAAGGCTGGCAATGATAGCATCGAATTTGTCCTGTCTTAGATTGGAACTCTTGAGATTCGATCCGAAGCTGAGAAAGATGGCTCCATCCTTCGCTCCGTCCAACCATGCTTGGATGTCTTCCGGCAGGGGATCGGGCTTGGACTTGATCTGCAGACCACCGACTTCCACCATATTCGGCAAGTACGGTCTTGGGACGGTTTGAGTAAAGTACGAGTTGAACATTACCAGCGATACATTACGCTTGGCTTCTTCGTACGAGGGGAATCCCTTCTCCGCAGGGAAGTTGTAGCTGAAATGATAGATTTGTGGTTGTTAATCACATCGATAAATGATCAAATAGACATACTCGTAGTAAGGTTGCGTTTTGTAGCTAATAAACTTCGTAATCACATAGTCAACCGTGTAGATCAGCGCGTTCTTTACTCGGTCGAAGAAGCTCATCGGGTTCTTGTTGCCCAGAAGCAAATGCGGAACGGCGGAAATCTCCGTCGGATTTCCAACCACGTTGATCATACTGCTGAAGCCGGCCGAAAAGTACAAAATCGTGGGACAGTTCAGCCAGGAGCGAACCCCAACGACGAAATCGTTCATAAAGAACCCCAGTATAGCAACGTCGAATTTCTCCTCCTTAATCAGTTTCTGGAACTGCGGCGAGTTCAGCGTGAAGTTGGTGTTTTCGAGCGATGCATGCGTAATGACCGGCATGATTTTGAGCATGTTCCGGCTGTCACCCTTCATGAAGCTGGCCATAATGGGACCGAAGGAGTCCTCAATCGGCACGTACACATCCCGGTAGTTTTTGACCGGCTTTGACAGCGGAAAGGCACTGACCATGGTGACCTTGAAGCAGGGGAAAAATTAATTTAGATCACGCCACCAACGGGTTATGATTTGATTGACACCGACTTACCTCATGACCTCGTTGGGCTAGGTGCTTCAGCAGTGCCTGAGTGCCCAGGACGTGCGACTTACTGGCCGTGGAGAAGAGGCACAGGATTTTCGCTGAGTCAGTCCCATTAGGCAGGCTGATCAGTAGCAGGCCCGAGAAGGCGATCACGAGCAGCGACAGTAATCGACTGCTTGCCATTATTGATGGAGTCCGTGGATGGCGGTGGGTATCGATGGAATGGTTGATCAACGCTCGGTGAGGTGAATTTATCACGTTCACGTCCTGAGGAATAAGAATGGGTTTGGAATGATAACGGGTGTGTGAGATAAGGCTCATGGTGATAATCGAGGGCAGTGTTTTGAAATGAACGATTGCAGCTCTTTGTGTGGGCGTGGATCATTGTGTTATCTTTAGTTGGTTGTGTGCCATTGATTTCTTTCGATCTTCATAATTGCAATTCAAATTTCAACCAGTCAGGATTTTCCAGTTTCCAGTGCTTTTTTTTTAATTTATGAAATCCGAAATGTTAGTGACCTATTTTTAACGAATCATGAATGTTCCGTCAAATGTTGGTCTCAAGAACGGTTACAAACAAGCTTGATTACATTTAAAAACGCAATCGACGAGCTCTCAAAGAAGAGTATTTATGTCATTCTATTCTCATTAACTAAATAATGATTCGTAATTCGTAAATACAATTCAAATAAGCTATAATAATCAACGGCATCCTCTTGACCAAACAATTAACATCAGCTTCCTTTCGAGATACTTGTTCGCCAACCTGTTTCTAACCGATCAACAACGTTGGTAAAAAAAAAGCAAAGATGAGAAGAATGACGTCATGCTACCAATGATCTTTTAAGTGATCTGCAAACCACCGCCTTACGTGCACGTTTCTGTTCGTTCCTTGAATCTGAATCCCAACTATTTAGATCAATTGCCAATTGCTCAACCCTTGTTTTACACAATTTTCACCCTCTTTTAGCTCGCTACATTTTTGTTGAATTCGATTAAACTACCACGCCATTGTAAATCACCACAAATTACACTATATCTTTACTAACCTACCGTCTTCTCTGCGTGCCCACGAGTCACTATAAGACGCGACCAGCGTCCCGTTTCAACGGCTCTCGGCAGTCCGCGATGAAACACTATTTACACTACCACCAGGACCATCATGAATGATGGAATCTCGATTTATTATTTGTACTCGAAGACGACAACGACGACGACAACAGCATGGTGTACATTTCACAGTCCACCACTGATAGGATTAATGTTTGCGTGAACGAACGGGAGGACGCCTTTTCTCGCGTTCTTCTCATCGACGACTACCTTGAATAAAAATCACACAAATACCTACACTTGTTGCTTCATACGTCGGGGGCCGGCGAATTGAATGAATGGACGACGTCGTGACCTCCCTCCGATTAATAGACAAATATGTTCTGGGTGATTTTTTGTTGCCCCTTGTTTGTGGAGCGCGGTGCGGTGCGATGCTAATCACCGTTTGCTGAAATTGATGAAACTCTATCGCGGAAGGAATTAGCTCGAGAATGCGTGTGTTTTGGCTGGGTGTGTGTGTCTGTTGAATATTAAGGCTTTTGCTGATAAAACTGCACGATTGTATCACTGCGCTTTAGATAAAAGGCTATGCTTCGAACACGAAACATAGGTAGCCTTGTCCAGTTCAGTTTATAAGCAAAAAAGAATGGAAAATTGGGAGTACTTATCAGGTGTGGATTATACATTTGTATGTGTACCAGTGCTACCAATGGTGCTCACCTTAAAACTAGATACCGGGTAAAATTTGTCTCTAGTCAGGGCAATCAGCAATCAAGATTTCCAATTTCAATTGGATCAAAACGCTACGATGTTTTATGGCCGACGTTTCAGTCTTCGGACTTGACCTTCTTCATGGGACATGAAGCTGTACCGTCAAGTTGTACGATCTACTAAAACCAACCCTGACGAAGATCGCAACCACTGGATCGAAACCCAAACATAATTAATAATTCTTCAAGATCTTTAAAAGTCTACACTTTTCAGAAGTTTTCGATGCATCTCTGAAGTTGTTGGTACTGCCCTAAAGATCTCTAAACTCAAGTAAATTTCTCAAGACTCCCCTGAATTTATCAGAACATTTTAAAAGTTCCCGCAATTTTCCAGAAGTCCATTGATTTAATCAGAAGTTCCTAAATTTTCCTAAAGTGTTCGAAACATAAGGTCATGGAACATCCCTTAAAATCTTTAAACTGATCTTGAACTTCTCTTGACTTAACTGAAGTTTTCGATTCTCCTTGACAAAGTTCCCTAAATAATCAAAAAGTTCATTAGCGGTCGTACACTAATTACATAAAGCAAAAGAGAGAGAGGTTGGTCTTGTAAAATCCTGCCAAAAATAACTGAGGGGAAGGGGGGGGGGGAGGTTGACCCCTTCTGACGTAAAATCATAAAAAAAAATAAAAGAGTTGTTTACGTATTGTTTATCAGCTCTACATCGATTTGGATCCTATTTGAACAGCTCTGAAACAACATTCTTAAACAAATTTCCCGGTTGTAACATCTGATAGGTATTTTGCATTTTGAGTGGGATTCGCGATTGGTTCGGAATTCGCTGAAAGCATATTAAAAAATTACAATACAAAATTAAAATTCAAAATAAGAATACAAAATTACTGCAAAAAAAAATACAATACAAAATTACTACAATATTTATGAAACTGATTCGTTCATTCATATGTTCATTCAAGCTGCAAGCAACTATCAGTAAGTTCAGTTTTCAAATCAAATTTTTGGGATATTATAAGGTTTATGAATAATTGATGGTTTGTTTCGTCTTAGCAATCTTAAAGAAAAGCGCTGATTACTGTTTTACGTTCTATATTTTATTAACAGTTTCACAAAATTTAGTAAGGGAGGGTTGTCCACATCTAGTTGAGAGTAAGGAACTTTATCAGAAAGAGCAGGGCTGGTAGCGAGTCATTTTTTAGTGACTTGGTCACTATTTTCAAGTCAGTCACTAAAAAGCCTCTTTTTTTAAGGCCAAGTCACTAAAGTCACTTTTTCTTGTAATATCTCACTATTTTTAACTTTTTTAGCGTAAATTTATTTCAAGATTGATTACACTAGTTTACAGCATTTTTGAACTCGGTAAGGTGATGATCATTTCCAATGCAAAATCCTACGCTGAATTCAATGCCGTGGTCAGAAAAAAATAAAGTAGAGCCATTTTTGAGATATACAAAAAAATTGATTTTTTGAATTTTGGACAAAAGTACGATTACTAAAATGTCAATATTTTTGGAACTAGTGCACCAATTTTAAATCTTTTTTTATGAAAATGAAGCTAAATAAATTTGCTATCGTTCACTAGAATATTATATCATAATTAAAAATTTAATTTTGAAGTCATTTAAAAATTTACAGCATTTTTTTTTATTTTTCCTGCGAATTTTCCATAAAAATCTTGTTTTAATCAACATTTTTAATGGGATAAAAAGATTCAAAAAATCATTCCATAATTTATTCTTAAAGTCCATTCAAAACCGGAGAAAATGAGTCTTTAATGGATGAAATCGGTTGGAAATTGTCGAAGTTATGAGCATTTTTGTAAAACACTTAAAAATGTTGCTGAAATACAACAGCTTTAGAGTTCCTTTTCTAGGTGTCGTTGTAAGCATCCAAATCGCATGTAAAGTTTTCATGGGAGATTCTTTTCTCTACATATCAATTTGATTAAGGCATATCAGGATTTAAAACCGAGTTGATACAAAAGAAATTTATTTAGGTTTTTTTAAAAATGATTGAGAATCGAATGACTTTGTCTTCGATGTTTTGAACTTGTTTCTCGAATCAGAAACCAACAATAGTCACCCATCATTGCTTCATCCCAAAACCCTTGGTAACGACGTTCCATCATCTTCATTTGTTGGTGAAAACGTTCGCCGTGCTCATCACTCTCGTCACCAAGATTTTCCGGGAAAAAATCCATGTGAGAATGTAGGAAATGTATCTTCAAAGACATATTCACACCTGTGTTCAGTGAAATAAAAGGATTTGAAATTAATTATATGTAACAAACACAATATTTTTGATTTATACCTATTTTCTCATAATTTTTGAGCAATTCATCGACGGGGCTTCCTCATAATCCTCATAAGTTGATTGTAATTTATCAAATTGAGCAATAGAGCCATTGATTCATACGTTTCCTTCATATTAACGGCATGAGCTAATGGAATAGAAGGTTTCTCATTCCCTTGATGCAGTAAAACGGCTTTCAAGCTCAACTTGCTGCTATCGATGAATAAACGCCATTCAGCTGGATCATATGGCTCATCAAACTCTTCAAACAAGCCGTTTACGTCATGGCAAAAACATGCCTTGTCCTTTGTAGAATAATATTTGTCAAATTTCTTGTGACGATTCCTGTGACAAGAAATTTTGACCTCCTTGCTCAGCATGTTGTGTTCTTTCAAGCGTGATGCCAGCAATTCGGATTTCTCCTTCGATAAGTCGAGTTCTCGCACCAAATCATTAAATTCGGATTGTGTAAACAGTTTTGGGTTTCTTTCCAATTCCACCTCGAAGTCTTCCTCGCATTCCTCCTTGAATTCCTCCTCACTTTTTGTAACGGTCGATTCAACAGAGGGCGCTCGTTTCCGCTTTGGATAAACAGGATACGGGACCGAACTTGAATGTGGAACAGGTTTTGTCATAGAAGCCACTTGTGGATACTCAACTGTTTTGTGACGTCCTTGTTGCTTAACTTTTGTCAAGCAGAAATAACAATCCGTTGCATGACAAAACGGTCGACGCCATATGGTGGGCATGTCAAAGGACAAATAGCGACTGACAGATAACAAATAAGTGAGTTAGTAAGTAAGACATTAACACTTATCAAAAATAGATGAAGTAAGATAATGTCGATCAGGAAAGAACAAAGCACTACCATGCTGTACATAAATTGTTTATATGAAAGTTATTCAAAAAATCAATTTACCTTGCGCCTGACATCCATCTAGCCAAGCACGTTTTGCACGAACTACATAATACTTTTGGAATCCACGGTTAGTCAAAGTCTCCAGGATCAATTTTAAAATAAAGCCTGTATGCAGTTTGCAACGAAGCAGTGAGATTGACCGATTTTGTAAATATTTAGTTGCCACACGCGTAACAAAACTTTTGAGGATCATTTTTACACTTGAATTCACGTTTTGTCGTATACATCGTTAAGCAATGTTAAAGAAAGAAAGCTGTCAAAT